GCAGATACAAATAATGGAATGGAACCATTGCCCACTTAGAACCTCCCTCTTAAAGTATTTGACAATAGTAACGCGGTCTGCGAAATCGTTTCCGCTCCTATGGACCGTTCGGCTGAGTTACGTCCTCTTAGACTTAAGCTGTGCTTTAAACCATCCATTTCAATTACAGTATGTCATTTCTAACCGTTGTATGACATCATAAATTTTTTCCTCGACTACCTTGTGGTCTATTTCCTTTCCCTCACTTGGTTGTTTAAATTTTTTGGTGAAAATAATGTGCTTTTTAATAAATGGCTCAGTCGTGTAAGGCGAGATGAGCTTTTCGAGTTATCAGATTGGCCAAAACTCGCAGTTTTCCAGGGCCAAGGCCGTACAGTTCCCTTCCTTGTAGGGCGAATATTACAGTACATGTCCCGCACTTAAGAATTTTGTTTGCTGTCCAACGACCTTTCACGTGTATCTTAACAATGCAATTTTCGCCGATCGCGCTATTAACGATCGTCGCACGCATCCGTTGTACTCCAACGTATGGCCAACGTTGACAAAGGTCATCTTTCATAAGAAAGTTGAGGTCAGCGGAAAGGTCACTCGCTGTCTTACCGCTGGACACTGGCCTGCGACCGGGAATACATGGTGACAGACATTTGACAACATCGCCGCCGCATCATGAACTCGCTGCTTCCTTTTTCCATGTTTCTCGCCATGCTTCTGGTACCGTCCGGTAAATGATTCACAGAAAACGTTCAGTAAAACGATTTGCTTTTCAGGCAAGCGCTGCCGGTTCCGTTATGATAAACAACTCCATTACTGGTAAGAATATTTGTGGCTCATTTCTATGATTTTTAATATTGAACTTTGCTCGTGAATTTCGCTAAATATTGATCATCTATCTTTAATTACATTTTCACTGTTCTATCACATGACTGAAGGTAACTTGGAGGACTACCTCTGTCAGACCAGGGCTATTGTATGCCAGAGAAACAGTTCTAACGAGAATTGAACTGCACGCAGCAACGTCCGCTTCGACGTATAATGACAGTTAAATGACAGTGCCATGTTTTGAATGATTCTACTCTCCTCCGGGCATCGGTGACGTCGATAGATGTGGAAATTAAGGAAAGGAACTGGTTCAGCATGCACTATTTACTATAATCCATGAGCTTCTCATGTTGAAGCTGGAACTTCGGCCAAGAGGCCAGTAACATGGAAGAACAAAGTAGAAGCAAATCTGCCCTCAGATAGAAATATGTTTGGCGATGAGACGCATCGCTGCCTGAGATGACAATTCTAATAATTTATTCTCCATCACTGATCGCAAACAGTGACGCAGGTTATCACATCACAGAAATCTTCAAATGACCTAGGACTTGAAACGATAAGTTAGCGAGCAGCAAAAGACACTGCGACATGTTATATGATCAACTTCATCTTCCATCGCCGCTTCTCCTTTCGGATCGCGGAGGCAGACGCGTCAGACAGAGCTTCCAACGTTCCCCATGCTGTGCCATAGTCTGAGCTTCGGCAAAAGACAAATGCAGTCTGGAACAGACTCCTTCCATATGTTTGCATGTTATATCATACATGCATAATTTCCCTTTTCAGTGAGGGACATACATGTCCCTCTGATACAGCATATTATGTTGATTCAGCGTTAGAACCCGTTTCCCATGGGAATATAAATTATAACGGGGTATGCATAGTCTGCTACAATTCTATGGCCATTTGTCATCCACACCAGACCTACATTAAAGTTCTTCTTGGAGCTTTACTTTACGTTGAATGTTCGTGTTCGATCAACTTGAAGAACTTCTTCATGGTCTCGTTCCTCCATTGATTGGGCAAGTTGCACTTACTAGACGCCAATGTTACGGCAGAGTCACGCATTAAATAATATTTCCAAGCCATAAGGCGGAGCCCCCATATAGCGTAGCCACTAACATTTGATTTTTCAAAGAGAACACTATTTGCGAGTCATTTCTGTGACTTCCTGACTGCGTGTCCAAACTGCCACATCAAACCGTTTTAATGTCTCGATCTAGAAAAGCAGCTGTTTGCACAATCACAAATTTCATTATTCATTTATTTATATAGAGCGAGGTCATGAAATTCTTGATCGCGCCAAAAGATGCAGCAGCATGACCAAAGGCTGAAATATTGTCATTATTTCCTCTTCTTGTTTACTTACATCTCTGGATCTGGATTTTTGACTTCCTCATTCATATTCGTATTCAAACATGAAATTCATCGGTATTAAGCGAACTGTCAACGCAATATACGAATTATTCGAAATCAAGGTTAATGACTGTGCTGGAAATGGGAAATTAATGCTACTTCATTCCGTGCTTTCCAAAGCATACTTCCTCTATTAATTAACTTTGAAGAAACCGTTCTAAGTTCCGCAGAAGAAGTCAGCGTGTGCGATTCCTGCAGAGCATTCACTGTCTTCTTTAAGAGTTCCTGAAAATCAAAAGTCGTTAACTTACACAAAATGTTGATCAGGGCGGTGAAAACAAGAGTACTGTATAACTGATCAATGCAACTCACTCTTTTTGTACTTTACTCATGAGTTGTGACTTCCTCCAGTCAGCAGGAAAGGACGGCATATTAATGATTGGCGTGGTAACTTTCCACAACTTTACGTAACTTCAGAACAGCCTATGGTAAACCAACTACGCAAATATTCGTCTATGTTGCCATCATGTTATTTTGCTTATAGGGGAGCCGGCAGTCCAGTGCACACCATTTGGCATCAACTTTGACTTCATCACGCAGTTACCGTTTGATGGGCATGTTTATGTCAGGGGCCATTACCGTGACCTTCAGTGCCACAGAGACTGTCTGCAGGTCAAAAACACGACTAACTCGTTTCAGATTCCGTTCGATCGGTGCGGGCTGCGTAAGCACAGAAAGGTTAGTAAACTTTATAGGGCATGTGACGTCGACCTTTGCCTCCAAAACAGAGATTAGTGTCGTTTCTTGCACCTAACGCCGGGAACATTATCAACCGATCTTTCGGAGTATGGTGCAATGACACAGTGACACCAGCTCCACTGCAAACTCCAGAGACTTCGGACTCGAATCCTGAAAAGGGAAAAGATTTCAATATCCTGTCACCTCCTTTGGTTCTGACCGGCTCGTCACGCCGTTTCCTTGCTTCTACCAGCCTAGGGGGCCGTTTAGACAGTATGAATTAAAATATATGTACCACTTCGAAAGTTTATCACGTATAAAAATAACACTGTTGCTAGTTTTCTGCCCCTAGAAAGATCTCTGTTGTGGTCGATGCTCTAATAACTGTGTATTAATGGTTTCGCAACGTCAAACTTGGTTTTGCACCCAAAGCTATTAAATGTGCAATGTAGAAAATATATAACAGTGTGAATTTCAGTGAAATCTGTATATAAGCAGCATGCAGTTATAAAATATAAGGCATTCTGATATATGATGCATAACAAATTGCACCCATGGCCGTTGAGAATGAAGAAGATTTGGATACTCAATGATTGGGAATGGCTTACCCTTGATTTATCAATCATCCATATGGCAGAAAGATTTCTTTCATTAATTTTCTTAAATTATTTATCACATGTTCTCCGGATCTTCAATCCGCCTTGCTACAAGTCCCCGTCCTTTCTTTTAGTGGTTGAATGGTCTCGATGAAAAGATTTTATCTTGGCTCCCTATGGAGATAGCATAGACTGTGATTCCCCATTCTTCCGTTCCGGTTACTACAATGAATGTTCTTTTCAGGCATTGAGCAGCGTGAGAAATTCTGTTTAGCCAGGTTACAAGAATCTTATCAGCCGACCTCATTGACCAATTACTTATGCTGATCATAAGTTATAGTTTAAAGTTATAGTTGCTTCTATGGAGTACTCATTCAGGTATTCACTCTACTGTACTTCTGCGCTATCTGAAATGCCAGGAGAAATGAAAATATATTTGCAGCAGTTTAGATATTAATCCTTTGCACACTTTAATGAATAAAGCACCATTTGCATCAATCCTCTTGGCGGTATTATTAATACGGCGCTGATTTTTTTTCATATCAGCTGCTTATATATCAGAAAATATCTACGACTATGCAGCAAGCATAAATCAAGTCTCCTACCTTCTTGCCGGCACGTTGTTTACACGAAGAATACAATGACAGTTCCACAGCCGATACTGGGAACCAAAATCTTCCGCTGGTCTTTGAATGACCAGCCGAGTGGCTCATTAAGTCTAACACATATTGATTCATTTATATCGTTCAAGTCAAGACAAATTTACTGCTAAGATTGGCAAAATCTACCGACATTTCAGCAAGCTTCCGGAAGATGAAGCACAATAAGCCATATAATAAGCGAGAACACATGTATAACTGTTCATATGCAAATTATGCAATAAATTTATGCATAAAAGATGCGAAAATGTTTATAATCAGACCTTAAACTAAAACTGGTGAACTTAAATCTTGCCATCCGGATACACACCTTTCTACGTTGATTACTTGTCATATTTAATGAAAATGGTAAAAACACCCCTAAGAGTTTATTTGCTACCCATAGCTGAAAAACCACATTTGGCTTCAAATGGCTC